CAGAGACATCTTGCGGATCACCAACCAGCAACTCTTCTGCACTTTTTTACAAAATAGTGGAAAACTAACCACTTCATATTCAATAGTATAGTGTTGGAACCAGTTATTTTATTGTAATGATATTTGACTTATAATGGAATTTAGGACATTGAGGAACTTATTTATGACACATGGACATTTAATATCTTAAATTTTTTTTTTTTGAGTTGGAGTTTCACTCCATCACCCAGGCTGAAGTGTAGTGGCACACTCACAGCCACCTAGCAACGACCTACTAGCCTCCGGAGATCCTTCTGCCTTAGCCTTCCCAGGAGCGGGAACTATAGGCGCGCACTACCATGCCCTGCTAATTTTTTATTTATTGTAGAGATGAGGTCTCAGCAAGTTCCCCAGGCTGGTCTTGAACCCGTGGGCTCAGGCAATCCACACACCTTGGCCTCCCAAAGTGCTAGGATTACAGGCTGAACCACTGAGTCCAACTTAGCTTAAATTTTTCTAATGTGTGGTAACGTGAAAGTCACTGATATCCTTGTGGTTCATTGATACATGTGCAATAGTAATTTGACGACTTCTACCTTGTGTCTTTCTACTTGAGCAGACAACATAGTCCTGTTTTCCTCCTACTTTAATATGTAATTTATTGTTCAGTCTGTTTGAAGAAAATGTAGGACACACTTGTGATTCCTGACAACTACTTCTCAACTGATTGATCATATCTCAGTATACCCTCTCTTTATTTGCTTTTTTATGCAATTTGAATGGAAAATGTCAAGGAAACATACATTTTTGAAAAATTTGCTCTGGCATAAGTTTGTCCTGTGTAATCACCAACAATCTATGTCTCCTAAGAGGGGACATCCTAGTGCTCTGCTAGATTTATGATGTCCCCTCAGAGGGCACATCTGAGTGCAAAGGGCTAAATTTATATACAGTTGTAAGAAATAAAACAGATGTACCCTGTACCCAGTCTCCCATATAGTAGCATCTTGCAAAACTACACTATGATAGCACAACCAGGACGTTAGTCATTTCCATCCACCACAAGGACCCTTGTGTGCCCTTTTTCCATGTCCCTTCCATCCCATTTCCCTTTCCCCTGTCCTTAACCTCTGACAACCACTCATCTGTTCTCCATTTCTGTAATTTTGTCACTTCAAGAATGTTGTATAAATGGAATCACATGGCATGTAACCTTTTGGAACTGGCTTTTTTCCACTTGGCACAATTATCTGGAGATTCATGTAGGTTGTCTGTATCAATCATTTCTCCTTTTTATTGCTGAATAGTATTCCATAGCGTGGATATGCCACAGTTTATTTAACCATTCACTCACTGAAGGGCATGTGGGTTGTCTCCAATTGGAGGCTATCACAAATAAAGATGCTATAAACATGTTTGTGTTTATGAATTTTTATTTCTAAATGCCCAGGAGTGCAATTGCTTGGTCATATAATAATGGCATGCTTCCATTTTTTTAAAACTGCCAAACTGATTTTAAAAACTGCCAAAAATGTACCATTTTACATTCCCATCTGCAGTGCAGGAGGGATTCAGTTTCTACACATCCTTGCACTCATTTTTTTTTTTTTTGAGTTGGGATCTCACTCTGTCACCTAGGCTGGAGTGCAGTGACGTGATCACAGCTCACCATAGCCTCAACCTCCCGGGCTCAGGTGATCTTTCTGCCTCAGCCTCCCAAGAGCTGGGACTACAGGCGCCCGCCACCACCCCCAGTCAATTTTGTTGTTGTTTTATAGAGACGAGGTCTCACTACGTTGCCCAGGCTGGTCTCGAACTCCTGGGCTCAAGCAATCCCTCCTCAGCCTCCCAAAATGTTGGGATTAAAAGCATGAGCCACTGCACCTGGCCTGTCACTTTTTTATTGTAGCCATTCTATGAATGGATATTTCACTGCGGTTTTCATTTGCATTTCCCTAGCAGCTAATGATGTTGAACATTCTTTCAAGTGCTTATTTGCCATCTCATATCTTATTCAGTGAAATGTCTATTTCGGTTCTTTTGCCCATTTTCTGTTTTTGTCTTTTTACTGTTGAATTTTGAGTGCTCTTTACATATGCTAGATTCTACTCATCTTTTGTTGCATATATGGTTTGAAAATATTTCTCTAGTCTGTAGCTTAATTTTCATCCTTTTCCCATGAGCCACAGCCAGATCCTGGGTTCTGCAAGGCCAGAGATTACAGCAAGGGTGACTGACATATGATAGCTAAACTCATGAAAAATAAACCTGATGTATAAATCAAAATGCTAGTTTATTAATGTTGGAAAAATAAGTCTGGCCATATCAAGATTAACACACATACAGAGAAATGGGAACTCTTGCACTGTTGGTGAAAGAGTAAATTGGCACATAAACTCTACAGAGTAACTTGACAATGTTGGGTAAAGTGCATACCCTATCAAGAAGAAATTTGACTTCTAGAGAAACTAATATATGTGGCACATGAGGTGCATGTTTATAGTGGTGAAAACTAGAAATAAACTAAACGCCAACAGGGAATGGAGTGGCATGTTCATACCGTGGAAGAGTATACAGCAGTGAAAATAAGTAAAAACAACATATCAGTGAGTAAATCTCATTTTGGAGCCATAAAGCAAGTTACAAAGTAATATAGTAAGACACCATTTATATAAAATTTAAAATATGCAAACAACATTTTCTTTAGGGATACATATATGTGTGAATGGTACAAAAACATGTAATGGAAATGACAAACTCAGAATAGCAGTTTACCTCTGGAGAAAGGGAAAATGGTAATAGGATTAGAGAGGGGCATGTGGGGGCTTTAACTGTATCACTTGTGTGTTAGGACTTAAAAAAAGGCAAAACAAAGTCAGTGAACAAAGTTTGCTCTTTCTCCTCCTGGCTGCCTGATATCCAGCAGCCATCATGAATGACTCAAGTTATCCAGACTAGGAAGTAAATCACTGATGGATTGCTTGAACAGATACACGTGGGGTTATAAGATGCCCTTCTTCCTAGAAAGGCATCAGTACCTAAAATACTAAGAAAACTAGCTAAGATGTACAAGAACACACCAGGTGTCATCTTGGTCTTGTTGGTGGTAAGACAATAGGCTTATGATAGCCTAAACCACACCAAGAAAAAGCTACACAGGTATAACCTGTAGGAGACAAGGACCTTAAGAAAACATTGAAAAGAATGTAGTAACAGAACAAAGATAAGATAACTACAAGTATCAGTGCTGACATTTAAAGATACCGCGAGGGCTTGACCTGTAGTAGTATTAATAAGCTACTTATTTAAACAAAGCTAAGTAATCAGTACGTGGGTCTTTTTGTGCAACAGTTTTCTATACTTCCCATTAATATTATATTATTAAAAATTATATCGAGACCCTGTGATGCATACATTTGTGGACAAGTGGTTCTGCTACACTATAAACCAAATTTTAAGAAGTTGGCTTCTTGAGTTTGGAATTGGATTAAGGAGAAACAGCCCTTATGGCCAACAGACAGGAGCTAAGAGAACATAGCCCGTTTCTCCCACTGGGAAGAGAGGCATTTGCAGATCAGACCAGTACTGTCTGTTCCAGGAGCTGAGTGATCCCTGCCTCAACAGTACTAGAGATGACATATCTCTCCCTCTCCCTGAGTTCCATCTTGCTTCTACCCACTATCAGTTTATCAGTCTTCATATGAAGACTTGGACTGGCTTTGGGCATTTCTGGGCCTATAATCATCCACCCTACAACACACACTCCCCGGGATGCAGTTTTAACAGATACCTAAGGGTCAACGTTTCAGGAACAGGAAGTAGAGGGTACATGTAATATGCAAGTCAATTTGTATTCAGGACTGCCCTCTTCCAAGCCCTTGCACTAACTTGTTTTGCTAGTACCTTGTTACGCACCCCTTAAGGCATTCCCTGACCACCAGTCTAAGAAGTCAATCACCCCGTTACACCTGCATTTGCATTTGTCTTGTCCATTTATTTTTGTTTTCTCTTTGTCACACTAAGACATAAGCTCCATGAGAGCAGTGACGCTGGATCCAGAGCACTTGGAAAAAACAGCGCCCGAACTCGATTGCCGTTCAGTAAGAATTTGTTGGGACTGGGAGCGGCGGCTCAAGCTTGTAATCCCAGCACTTTGGGAGGCCGAGGCGAACTCGGGGGTTCAAGACCAGCCTTGGCAACTGGCGAGACCTCGTCTCTACAATAAATTAAAAAATTAGCCGGGTGTGGTGGCCTGCGGCTGTGGTTTCAGCTACTTGGAAGGCTGAGGCGGAAGGATCGCCTGAGCCCAGCAGGTCGAGGTTGCGGTGGCTGTGAGCGTGCCACTGCACTCCAGCCTGAGCGACAGAGTGAGACTCCAACTCAAAAAAAAAAAAAAAAAAAAGAATTTGTTGGCGGATGTCTGGCTGGAGATTCTGGGGAGAGTTGCTCTGGCAGGTCGCTTGAGTTACCCTAGATATGCCAACCCTTAATTGCCTGTACAAAGACGTACGGGGACTCACTCTGGTCCCTTGGTCCTGACAACCAAACCAGCGGGAAACAGCCTCAACTTAGTTCCAGCTCGCCTCCGCAAAACTCCTCCAGGCCGGAAGCAGCGAGGGGGCGTTTCCGGAAGTGGAGACTGCTGGCGACGGAAACGACGCTGGGATTTGGAGTGGCCTGGAGAGACCGCTGCAGAACTCGGCGCCTGTGGAACCCATCGCCCCACCCATTTCAGACTTTGCAGCCCCCCACTTCAGCCCACCCACCTCCCTGAGTGGGGCCCCGGGCCACAGGCGAGGCGATTGGGCGGTCCGCCCTCCTTCCTGGGTCTGGGTCTGTGTTTGGGGGTTGCCGGGCAACAGCCACTTCCGGGAGCGGAGTCCGCGAATCCGCCGGCGCGGCTCTCAGACTGTGTGGATTGCTGGCCCGGTGGCAGCTGCGTACGGGAGTGGAGTGCTGCGCCTCCGCGCACCCCAGCTTCCCCATCCTCGGGTTCTGGTCTTGAGTTGGCGACCCTTCTGACTCTGTGTATAGTTGTTGCTCCTGGCAACGGCCACTTCCGGGAGCGAGTGCCGCCTTCCCTCTGTACCGCGGGCGCTCTAGCCCCGGGTTCCGGCCTCGAAACGGCAGTTAGTGTTCCTCCGCCGCTAGCTCCTCGGGTTAACTTCGGACCACTGGGCCGCACAACCCGGGACTTCTCGCCGCCCCCAACGCCTCGGCGGGGCCTTTGAGGCCGTCATGGTTCTCCTGCACGTGAAGCGGGGCGACGAGAGCCAGTTCCTGCTGCAGGCGCCGGGCAGCACCGAGCTGGAGGAGCTCACGGTACAGGTGGCCCGGGTCTACAACGGGCGGCTCAAGGTGCAGCGCCTCTGCTCAGGTGCGGCCCGGCGGGCCCGGGAGAGATGGAAGAAGAGGGGCAGGCTGGGGCGAGGGGTCCGGCTTGGGAAGGACTCGCAAAGATTTGCCGCAGCCGGGGTGAGGATGGGTCGTCAAGGTTAATGGGAGACGAAGATAGGACCGACCTGGCGCCCCCGGCTCGAAGGTGGGCAGCGGCTAAGGCCACGGGCGCCCAAGGGTCTCTCGGAGCCGAGATTTGAGGTGCTGTGAGTAAGCAGGTGGAAAGGAACAGCCTCGAGAGGGAAGAGGCGCCAGGAGGGAGCCCAAGACCTGGCTGAAAAGTAGATGTGGTGCCCACAAGGGGCAGGATGAGAATTGGGTGGGCTTCTGGAAGGTGAATTTCCTATTTCGAGACTTGGAGGGAAGCAGTTTTCGATGGTGAGCCACCTGGCTTTGGCACGGCCCCTCAGGGAAGAGACGACTGTGAGAAAGCCTTGGGGATCATTTTCCTATTCCTGGAAACTCGAACCCATTTCTCTGGTTATCGCGG